GGGGCTCCTTGGGGCAGATGTGCAGCTCCCAGGAGAAGGGCTGGGGCACGGTGGGGATCCCCCAGCCCCTGTACTGCTCCGACAGCACTGAAACAAAAAACACAGAAAAGCAGAAAAGATTTTTCTCTTTAACGAGAGCTGTGCATGGAGGGGACAAGTTTGATGGCACAGGACTGTGACACTCCACCATCCCCAGTTCATGCCCCAGTACCTTGCTGTGGGTGCAGAGAGAGTGGCTCTTGCCTGCGCCGGACTCACAGAGCGACAGACAAAAGTAATTTTGAGAAAGGAAGAAGTGCCGGTGAGATGCTAGGAGGGAATGGGCAGCAACAGAGAGCCTGGGGCTGCTTGAGTGGGACGGCACCGGGGTGAACAGGGCTCCTGCTGCCAGGCTTTGGGTAGCCAGGAGTGACACTGGGCTTGGACTTTGGGTGGACACAAGCCATCACCCCAGGGACAATGCTCATTTATTTATTTCTTTACATACAAATGGCACTATTGTGCAGTTGGGTTTTGATCTTTTCCTGCTGGAAGCGATTCTGCAACTCCAGGGCAGTCAATGGAGTTTCAGTGACATGAACAAGTGCAGGAACAGCCCCACACGGCTGGTGTGTGCATCATGCCATTAAAATTGTACCCGTCCTGTGGAGCCAGGCAATCACATCCTTCCCATCAGCGCTCCTTGGGAAGGAGAACTCCTTTGGAGATGCTTTTGTCTTGCTGCCCCCCAGGCATTCCCAGTGGGGTAGGAAGAGGCGAGGGGTCCACTTTATGCTGGAAACTGGGTGAAAGGTCTAATCACTATCCCTATATTCAAGCACAGAAAAAAAGACTATTTGCGTTTGACTTTATGGCACTAAACCAACACGAAAGCAGCAGCTTTTCAGCCCGTCTGAGAGAATTAACTATTCACAGCTGGGAACTCCAGGATGCAGCCAGGGGATGCCAATGGCTCAGTGCTGGCAGACCCACGGCTTCTCCCTGTGCCAGCTGCAGCGAGGGGAACGTCCCCATGTCGGCACTCGCTGCAGAGCCGTGTCCCTGGCTACGGCACTGGCCGCTCACTCATCTCACTGGGGATACGGAATTTATGGGCTCTGAAACATCTCAATCCGGAGAGGCAGATTTAGAGGGGTTTTGCTCAAGGGACCTTTCTGAACTCTAAAAGCTGTTTGCTCACATTCAGCTCTGCAGACCCCAGACCCTGACCTTTGTAGTTGTTTTCCTGAAAGGGGTCGGTGGCAGATTTGCACAAGGAAGCACCCAGCAAAGTGTGGACCATTCTCACTTACCCCACCTTGCAGAAGGAAAACACACTCGCAGTGCTTGGTACACAGGGTTCAGGTGACTTTGAGAAGTGGATTCAAATCATCTTGTAACTGTCACTTACACGAGAGTCACCCCTTACAGAGGGTAAGGGAGCATCAGAACTCACAGGGACACAAAAACCTGGCAGGTTTTAGTCAGATGCACAACTGGAAACCATTTGCTAATTTAAAAAAAAAATATAAAAAAAAAAAAAAAGCTGTTGCAATGCCTAATGTGTTTCCGAAAAACTGTGCACAGAGGGTACTGCAACCATGCGAGCAGAGGGCATCTGGGGATTTTCTGTATTGCTTGCGGAGTACAATTTTTTTTTTCCCCTTTTCCAAGCTTCACGCAAGCACGCAGTGGGACAGCAATCCTGGGAGGAGCTGCTGGCATTAACAGGGCTCAGGTACCTCTGGCTCTCCCCTGCCTTGGCCAGGGCAGCAGCTCTTGGAGACCACGGGCTATGAACTCCGCATCACTGCTGTCGTTAAGACCAGAGTCGATGCCCAGCCAGCCTCTGCAAATTTCACTTGGACAGGCACAGAAGATGAGGAGCTGGACGAACCCACAGTTCCCAGTCTGGGCTGGGGTCAGGCTCAGCCGAGGCGGGGGCCACGGGCCGTTCTGCAGCAGCCTGCTCTTACCCTTGCATCACCAGTGATGCAAAACATTGTACGAGAACAAGTGACCCAAGGAGATTTCCAGCCACCAAACCTGAAGCCCAGCCTTTGTTGTGCTTCGGCCACAAACGCAGTACCCAGTTCATTCAGAACCTGCAGGGTTTTTCTCATTTGTTTTAATTAAAGAGAAAATTTGGGAAGCTCAGGGCACTTGGCAGCCTTTCCATTTTCAGCTAGTTCAAGATTAGGCCAATTTTATTGTGTTTTAATAGTTTTACAGCACAGGGTTTATGGGAATGGGAATGGCACACGGATAGCAGGCTCAGAGCCAGCTGAGCAGTGCCAGTCCCAGGAGGAAATGCCGTTACATACGTATTATCAGTATGGACAGCTGCTGAAAACCTTACAGAAGAGTGGCACCACTGTGAGACAGGAAGCCAGACAATCTGCAAGCCTCACAAAGTGAGAAAGAGCAAAGGGGCTGATAAACATAAAAGGGAAAATAGGAGCACCCAGAGCATCTGAAACCATGAAAAAAATCCATGTGCAGAAATCCAGCGAACAGCCCCAAAACGAAGCAGAAGACAAGCGATACTTGGCTCACGTGCTTTTGCAGGACTCTGATCTGCTTCTGCCCTACACGTCGAGCTGTGGTATAAACCCACCAGCACAACAATGACCCAAAACACATCATGACATGCCCCACATCCCTCCGCAAGCGGCTGGGGCACCGGCAGCCCCACAGCCCTGACCCATCCCGCACACATTCGGACGTGCACACAGGGACCCTCTGTGCTCTGCAAGGATTAACCAGCTCTAACTGCTTGTGATTCAGCAATTATTGGGATTATCGGCCAAGCCTTGGCTAATACTATTAAAAACTTTCTTAAACTTTACCTGCTCCTGTAAAGCGACACGTTTCACTGTAGCCCTTTTCCCCATTTCACATCTCTCACCTTCGGTCAGGTCACACTGACACGAATTCCCACGGCTTTCATGTGATGTATCGCTGCCTTGATTTTTGGGACAGTATATTTCCATCAAAACTGTGTTTTTCCATTTAAAAAACCACCCCCTACTCACCAAACCAGACCAAAACAGCTTATTGCAGGCGCTTAATTTTACCCACTGTGAGTGAAATAAACGACTACAAGTACAACAATATAAGCCACCGTTACTGTGTTTTTCTTGTCGCAGGGTCAAATCATAACTGTGTATTTCATCTAAGAATCAAAGCAAAGGCATTAGTCCTCATTGACTGTGGTGCTGCTATAATTCAGCGAGTCATAATTGGGAAGAAAAAAAAAAAAAAGAAAAACAGAAAAAGGAACCAATTTGGAGAAAAAATGGCTTTTTTTGGATTATTATGCCAGGGCTCAGTGTAAGAAGGCGTGAGAGGCGATGGATGCAGAACATGGATTTGCTCTTGGACATCTGTTTGCACGGGCAGCGAGCGAGGGAGGAGGAGCAGCACACAACGCCTGCGAGGCTGCGGCATCGCTCCAGGGAACGGACGATGGAAAAGCACCCAGTGAGCAGGGAATGGAATAAAAGCAGGTTATGATTTTTCTATTTTTTTTTTTTACTAATGAAAGACATCCTTCTCCCTCACCTTGGGGAATCAGACAGGTCCAATCTGTTAAACTGGCCGTTTGCCAACAGGACTATTAAAGAACGAGGTTTTGATGGTCCATAAGCCTCTTTGGCTGGAATTGCTGCCGGCCAGGGGCTCGGTGCACCCCAAACCGGAGGCTGCAGCGACGCCATCAGGGACCGTCCCCATGCCACCACCTCCCCACCTCCCCGATCAGCGAGGCAGAGTTATCTGCCATGGGAAAAGCCTTTGCATCGGGTCAAGCCTCTTTGATCCGCTGGAGGGGAAAAGGAAAATAAACTTCACAGCGAGG